TTGTCGGAGAAATTATTTCGTTTATTTATACGTAGATATTCTGTAATGTCAATTGGGAGATTATTATTCACAGTGAATAGAAGATAATTTAGAAGACTAGAAGAATTTAAATTTTAAGCTGTTAACACTGTAAATCGGTTAATAGTTGAGTTTATGGATTTTTTAATTCGTTGAACATTCAATTTTTTAATTCCCCGTGTGCTAAGTTTCTTAAATTCTCGAATTTAAGAAATTCTCAATTTTTCAAATCTCTACATTTTTCATACGACATTTTTAAATATGAAATCCACGACAATATTCCAATATTTACATCTTACTCTCTCTCTCTTTGTACGTTACAAATCGTTACAATCGTCTCTCTCTCTCTCTCTCTCTCTCTCTGTACGTTACAAATTCTTTTCTTTCTCTTGCTCTTCTTACAAAGGAAAAAGATTTCCCGGTGTTGCGCTCGCCGTCTCGAACTGTACGGACGTCTGTTGCGCGATATTAGGTCCTCGAATCGAGGCCGCGAAATAAGGGACGCGAGCGTACAGGGTGAGAACGTACGGGGGAAACAGGGAAAAATGGAGGACAAAAGGACGGAATAGGGAGTACGGCGGGAAAGCGGAATCTCCTGTTACGTTGGATTCGAGATAGGGTGAACCTTTCGTCCGCAAAAATGCCCCGCGGGACCCGCGTCAACGTCCTTCGAGGGAACCCTCCGCGTTCCCTCCGAATCCTCATTCTCCTCTTCGTGACCGTTCGCGAATGCTTGGACACTAGGAACGCGACGACAAGGAGCTCTCTGACTAGACGTCACTCAGATTCCAACTTCCCTCCATTCTTCTGCACGACCATGATTTATGGTCTCGCTTAATGCAACTGGCCGCGCGGCCGCTCGCTCGCTCGCTCGCGGAAATTCGGATTAACTGGTCAGCTGTGGCCGGGAAAAATACTCGATATCGAGACCTAAGAATTTGACGCGAGCTGGTTTGAATTTGATTTCGCTTGTTTGTTTTGACTGACGAAGTTTGTTCTTTGAGCTTTTGTTTTTTGTCCTTTCAAATGGTCTTTGGAAATTTTTCTCTTCATAATGTAGAATTTGGTGATATTATTTGATATGACATTAATATATATATATAAGGATATCTACTATAGTTGTAGACTATACGAAGAATGATGTTTCGCTGCAAAGTTTTGGAAAGTTTATTTGATATAAGATGCCAATTTTTGGTAATTCTATTCCATATGAGGTATATTACAGTAAAATGGAATATTAAGATGTCACATAAAGTTAGATGCAAACATTAAGATACTCTACTAAGTTTATATGAAAACTACGCTTTTCAAAATTCTGTTTAACAATTAACATCTTTCGAATCTTCGAATGAAAACATCGGCGGCGATGCGGTTAAACAGGGTGCAGTTAGTATAATCCACGCTTTCGGTAGTGCAATTGAATTCACGGCGGAGGGCATTTTTCAAACTGGAAAGAACGGCCAGACTGAAAGATTGAATTTTGCCCAGAAGTGGGCGGCATCGCGATTTCTTGTCAGTGAGAGAAATTCTAACCCGCCCATCCGTGGGGCTTTCGGCTTCATTTCAATAACATTAGCCTAGTCGTTTAAGCTTCCACTGCAACCGACTTGTGTTTTATTCGAAGCTGCCCGCGCGCAATTTGTTTCCTCCTCGTTGAATTATCGGCCGAGTGCTCGGTTTCTTCTTTTCGGCCTGGATGCTGCGCGTTTTAGAGCGACCTCTACATCTATTAGGAGTTCTTAGGCGAATTTTCGCCTGTTAAGTGTTCTTCCAATCTCTCCTCTGCTATCATTTTTCTTTCTTCTAAGCGTAGATTTTCAAGCTTTTGTTAACAAATTTCTTCCATGGAATTTAGAACTTTCTTTCAAGTCGTCTCTTGACTCTGAATTTAAATTAATTTAATTTGTAGAAGATATGACAAATCATATTGAAAAAAGCAGAAAAACAATGACACTATATATATATCATGTTTCACCATTATTTATATCATTTTCTTTCTATTATAAATAAATTTCTTAATTAAATTATAAATTCTTAATAAATGTATTTCGAAAATAAATAAATACAAGATGGTTTTTGAGAGATTCGTATACTAACTGATGCTGCACGACTCTACTCCAAAAATTCATTAACCCTCAACTACCAAATAAATAATTCAACAGAGTGTTTCCTAAAATTTCCAGAATTCCCTTCTGATCGTCGATCGGAAGTAGAGATTTTACACTGGATCTGAATATCATGGATGACATAATCCATTGAAGAACGGATCCATCGATCGTCGAAGGAGTCAGGCGACGCGACGGGAAGCGAGCCGATTCTTTTATGGCGTACTCGATCTGAGATTCGAAAAGGTGGCGAGCCACGAATGCGAATCGCGGTGTTGGCCGGTGTATGAAAAAGGAAATCGACCGGCGATCGGGATTTATTATTCAAGACACGCAGCCCGGACGTTCCTTCCTTCTTGAAGCATTCCACGATATACGATACCCGATGCCAGTCGAAGACAGCACCTCTTCCAAGCATCGCGTCTCCGAGCAAAAATCGGCGGAAATAGCGTGGACGTTCGTTCCCTCTTCCTGCATCCATGTAATCGTCGATCAAATTCGAAGATTTCTTCGTGCCAGAAAATAGAATTCGATGTGCGAACGTCGTTCGCCCACCAGTCTGGCGCCGGAATCTTTTCAGAAAAGCTTCAAAAGGACTTCTTCATGATTTCGAGGACTTTTGAAAGAAGAAAATCTTTGACAGGTAAATTTTTATTTGGAGATATATATTTCTTGAAACGTTTCGTGTAAATGGATTTTTTAGGAGGATTTATTTTTCTGTTCTACCGAGATACAAATAATCTTAACCTTGCGTAATTTTTTTTTGTTTTAAGATAAAATTCTCAAATTCTTGATCTTACATTGTTTTTTTATTAATTCTTTGTCTGTATTTAAAAATTTACTTGCATTATTATAATTTTGTTAAATCAGTTTATTTCTCAGTCTCTTCATGGCATAAGTAATTTTAATGCTTTACATCTTTACTAATTTAATTAGGATATGGATTAATTAATGAAAAAATTTCAAAATCCTATACCTGTGTTGGACGCAAAATAACTTTTGTAAATAGCACATTTGTTAAGATTTCTTACTCCTACAGTAATATAATAATTGTAACATTTAACTGTATATCTTCTTTCATTTCTTTCAGAAAGAAAGGCAAATAATAGAACTGGAATAATTCGTACAAAATTGTAAAATTCTATATCTGTGTTAAATCTAGCGTCCATCGTTATCTTACATTTTTCTGAATCATTGACAACGAGATATGTTAGAAGCAAAACGAATTTCATATCTCTCGGACAGAACAGACGCGCTCGATCTTCGTCCCCGAGGTTTTCATTTTGCTAAAAACATCCTCCGTTATTTGTCGGCCACGTCGAAATTGCGCTGTATGCTGATGAGCTGGCGTGAATTAATCAATAAATATGTAGTCGGTGCGTTAACCAGGGATACGGGCCGGCCGTAAACGACGTCTGGGAACAGGAGATGTTGGTCGGGCCACATTTTCCCCGTGCCTCCTGCGTTCGTTCTATATTCTACATATTTTTGTTGGCCATAAACCGATCGTAATTTCAGACGAGTCGCGTTAATGTATAATGCATCCACTGCCTCCGCTCTAACGTATCTTCACCGGCTTCTCGTTGAAACATGGCCGCCGAAAATTGCTTGGTTACTCCTTCGATATATAACGTGAACATAGTCTTTATAAATTTTCTTTTTGTTATTAATGTGTGTTTAAATTAAAATGATTCTCACGTTTAGAGAATTCTTGCGTCTAATCCTTCAACCTTCTACGTGTGTTTAAGTGTGACCTGATCTTGTGTCTACGAATTCAATTCATCTTCTGTATATTCTATATAAATTTCATTTATTCAACGCGCATTTTAGAATTTTATTATGTATTTAAGAATTTTGTCAAGAAATTACTGGTATTGATTATTAAACGTAGTAGAAAATCCTTGTTAAATTAATACTTTTTAATTCATTAACATTTACTTCCAATACTTTTGTACAGAGAAAACTTGATAATACGTAATCTATATTTAATCCTCAGACAAAGCATTGAATTTGAAATTGAGTCTAATTTCTATCGAAGCAAAATTCACACAATCAATGCCACGAATGTTCATTATAGATGTAAAATATTAATTATTAGCCAATTAACTTCAACTTGATTGACGAAAAATCAAGAGAACATCATTTGCTCGTCATATTTTAGGAGACATATCTCTCTTTGCCAAATACGATGGGACAATGCGAAGCTGAAAGAATGTGTCTTCTACGTTTCCGGTGTGCAAGGAGGAAGTTAAAAGGAGAAAGAGAGAGAGAAGTTCGTCACGGAGACTCGTAAGCAACGATACGTGGATAAACTTGGGGAAGACGTATTGCACGTGAGTAGAGGACGACAGATAGAATGTTGGTTGAGTGACGTATGATGCGAGGATGAAGTTACGCCGTGGCGAACGACACGTCGCCAATTTATCGAGTTAAGTCGTCCCAAGGCTTATCGGCTTTCCTGTTCCCGACCACTTGTTTTTCACCGTCCGTCGAATATTTGTGACAATCCACGCTGTCTACCGATGTGGTACATGGTATCGGTTGTTCCTGCGCAAGGGTTGAATTTTTATTTTCATTCGAGTGGACACGATGATGGAAAAGCGCGAGAGAGTGATTTATGGAAGGTAGTCAGTATTAATTACGAGGTTAATGGAGATCATCCGATAAAAGAGTTTAAGTTCATGATGGATAACCGTTGTTGGAAATTACTTTGCCAAAATCGTACATTTTTCATACTGTGTCCACGTTCATACTGTGTCGAAGAATTGATCTTCGACGAAAGTTTCACTATTACGTCCACTCTTTATATGCGTATAATTTTTAATTCTTGTATTTTACTATTCCGGTGATTTAATAATTCTTTCAAACGTTAAAGGTATTTGGGATATTCAAACTGTATTCGATCGAAAGAAGTATGTAGAAAATCAAAACCAGAATTCTTTGTAAGTACAAACGAATCTCTGTTTAATTCCTATTTCTTCTGTCGCAAATCTACTCTAGTAATAAAATCAGACTATGTGAAAAATTCCCAGATCTATCCGCGATCTATTCTTAAATTGTTATAATCCCTATCAATCCAATAATACCATTAGTCAAGTAATTAATAACAAATTCAGATTGGAATTTCTTTCAAACCAACCGGCAACCCCAACATTGTACCATAATCTCTCGACTTTAATCAAATCTTAAATTCCATCCTCTCCGTGAACTCTCTCTCGGACCATCAGATGGCCCCAGTCTTTTTGCACGCGTACCACTCGACGACGTGACCGTTTCCATTCCCCGTGTTGATTCTCTATTTTCTTTTTCCTTTCCTTTCCCCGATGGCAATTTCGGCAAAGATACGCCTGTACAGAGCCAGTTTCGCCGGGACAATCCTCCCCTCTCCCTCTCTTCACATCACTCTCTCTTTCTCTGTAGACACGTTTTCTCTCCCATTCTTCGTTTTCCCTCCGCGGATGTCAGGCTCCTCCGCGCGTTGCTTCAGGAGAGCGGAGAGACGATCAATACGTCGCTCCAGAACGGAGAAGGAACGGAGCAGGCTACGTTATTGGGAGAACTTTGTGTCAGTGAGAGAGAAGGGGGGGG